AATTCTATTTTTTTTATAAATTCATTAATAATTCTATAATTGTTTTTTACAGTTTATTTGGGTACCCTATCAGCCGTACATAGACGTTGATCAGCTCCCAGATCAGTGTACACGAGGCCGAGGTCTCTGGATGTACAGAGGGTTCATCTTCTGCTGGAACATCGCAGAACCCCATGAGCCTGATAGGGTGCTCCGCCAGTTTGGGTGCCACCAGCCCATCCCGCAGACGCCACTTATTGCGAGTGCAACTGATTGGGACGACCGCCACAAAGGCCAGGGCATGACTGGGAGGGCATACACCGATTGGGGGGCCTTCCATTCAAATCTTGGGAGGATCTAGACCAACGACAGAGATAATCATGTCCTCCTAGATGTACTGGTGGACCTCTTCCTGCAGCCGGCTGATGGGTACATTGAGTGGTATCGCAGTAGGACTGTGAACCTACTCAGTGACCCTAACAAGTACGCGGAGATCGCACGGGATGGCGGGTTTCAGCCAATTGCCGACCGGGAGAAGTGTCTGGTAATTTGTGATTTTATTATTATTATTATTATTATTATTATTATTATTATTATTATTATTATTATTATTATTTATTTATTTTTTTTAACATGTTTATAACAGTTATTTGAATTTTATTTTCAGCATTCGGGTACAGAAGTTGCGTATAACACGCTATCCACCATGGAAGACGTGTTTGGTACGCTAGACCCCTCATCGCAACAAGGGTACGAACAAACCCGGGGTGTTCTCTACGCTTCTCTGACGGTTGGGGGCAGCCGGTCACACAACAAGAGGCGTCGTCGGGCAAATTTTATCTCAAGAGGAGTACATCCCACCCCAGCAGACACTGTCCCAACGGGCGAGGCGTAGACCGGCGGCCAACGTTGGTGGAGGGGGTGGAGGGAGAAGACGCCGTGCAGCCGAACCCGCCACTGCAGTCCCCGGGACTGAAGAAGACGAACAAGGTGATATTTTTTTTACTTAACTACAAATATGTATTTATTTTCATTTCTTTTTATTTATTTGTTCGGTCGAAGTATTGATTTTTTTCAAAAATTAATTAATTTTGTGAAGAAGAACAAGAGCCAGTCACGCCTGGACAGACCGCAACATCGTCTTCTTCAGTACCACGACCTCCTCGGAAAGGGTCTCGAATACGCAAGCCCAAGAATCCATATACTCCTAGTTAGTTAGTTTTATTTTTTGTCTTGGATTTTGAGATATTTAATTTGATGGTTTTGTGTACATATTTCGTGGTTCATTTTATTTATCGTTAATTGTGCTTCACTTTTTTGTACTAGATTATTAGTTGACGAATGAATTGATATTAAAGTGATATTGTTTCGTGTTAAAAATGTTAAATCAAAATTTATAAAAAATCTTCATATTGAAAGATAACAATATAAATTCAGCCAAAATAAACGCGTTTGGTAGTAACAAGCTCGTGAGCATCCAAGAGTCGAGCCCTCACTCAAAATAAATAAATAAATAAACAAAACCAAAAAATTAAATTTTATTATATAACAATCTCAGTCAATTATAAAATATATGTATATAGTATATATTAAAAAAATATATATACTATAAAAAATATTTATATTCAAGTATAAGAATAAAATTTGTGCATAAATAATAGTGATAGCCTAGAGCGGCCTAATGGTAGGAGGTGTGCCCGTAGAAAACAGACTCGCCCACGTGTACAGGGTTCGAGTCCTCAATCCAAGTTCCTTCTACCATTTTTTTTTTCACGAACGCGGATTCTGAAAATCCGTGTTAATTCTAAATCTACATAAACACGATTTTTCAGAATCCGTGTTGTATTTAATATAAAAAAAAAATGAATAAATCCAGGTTCCTTCTACCATTTTTTTTTCACGAACGCGGATTCTGAAAATCCGTGTTAATTCTAAATCTACATAAACACGAATTTTCAGAATCCGTGTTGTATTTAATATAAAAAAATGAATAAATACTTAAACACGGATTTTGAAATTTCGTTTTGCTTCTTAACACGGATTCCGAAATTCCGTGTTTCGTAAAACAGATTATCATAATCCGTGTTTTGTTTAGTTAATTAGCGTTAATTACGAGATTAAGTAAACACAGATTGTGGTAATCCGTGTTCAGTTCACAATTAAAAGAACACGGATTTTCAAAATCCGTGTTCGTAGTAAAATTAAACTTACACGGATTTTCAAAATCCGTGTTTTTGTAAAATACGGATTTTGAGAATCCGTCCGTTTTATTTTTGTCCACAATTTTTTTTTTGTTTTATTTTAGTCCACTTATTTTTTATTTTTTTAAATAAATAAATGATTCTACTTTGGGTAGTTAGTTCTCCCATTCCGGCTCTGATCAGTTGTAATTATGTATTTTTAGTAATAAACTATATCGCTTTGAAAAAAAAAAAAAAAAAAGTCGTTTGAAAAATAAAATAGAAGAATCCTCATTTGTAAAGCCCAACCCAACAACAAAATCAGAAAAGCCGCTTGGGCCCAACTGATTCTACCCACCGAATCTTATCTAATTTTCTTGGCACTAGGGTAAGACGTGAAAACAAAACACCCGTCGTCTGATTTCTCTTCAATATTGCTCGCATCTTCTTTGCCCCTTATCCATTAGGGTTATCATTTTACGCATTCTA